GCTTCTTCCATGTGGGCTTTGTTGTTTCTCAGTTAGATGGCCCCTTGCTTATCTTCTCAGCTCCTTTTTCAACCTCCCTCCCACACCCTCTCAACCTTGTGAATATTTGATCAATTATATATCATTGTTGTTATGTTGTGTCTTACACTATCCATTGTCTCCCTTCAACCTATGTATCCAACTTTGTGATGGGTTCCCCCCTTCCTCCCCCTCTCCCCTCACCATCCATTTACCCTCATGATATCACTACTACCACTACTGTTCCTGAGGGTTTTATTTATACTGAATTCCTTATGTCAAGAGTTCTTATCTGTACCAATGGATGTTCTCCTGTCTAGCCAGATTTGTAAGGCAGAACTGGATCATGGTAGTGGTGGGGAACAAGCAGTCAGGAACTAGAGCAGTGGTTCTCAACCTTCCTAATACCACGACCCTTTACTACAGTTCCTCATGTTGTGGTCACCCATCAACCATAGAATTATTTTCGTTGCTACTTCATAACTGTAATATTGCTACTGTTATGAATCAGGCAACCCCTGTGAAAGGTAGTCATTTGACTACCAAAGGGGTCACAACCCACAGGTTGAGAATCACTGAACTAGAGGCATGATGTGTGTTTCATTCAGTGCTGTACTGCACCCTGGTTGAATCATCCTTTCCTTGTAACCCTTCTGTGGGGGGATGTCCAGTTGTCTACAGATGGGCGTTGGGTCTCCACTCCACCCCCCCTCTTGTACATCGATATAATTGTTTGTTTTAATACCCAAGATTCTATCTAAAGATGAACCTTAGGGATTCCCAAACTCAGATGCCTTAGAGAACTAGGCAAATTTTGTGAACAAATGAAAGAAGTCTAATATATGAGAAAATCTATTGACAGATTATGATACAACATCTTTTTTATCCATCTTTAAACAAATATTGGAGTTTAATTTTAATATTCAGAATTAATAAAATCAATTATAATAAATCCTCTATACTATTATTCCTTTCATTTGGAACAGGGAAGTTGGAACCCACCAAAATTTCAGTCTTGTCTTAATATATATTTTTTTCATTTTACTATTTCTTTGGTTGTAATATGTAAGGTTAAATTGAACCTTGACTTCCTTTAACAGGCAGAAATATTTTTATTTAATTTCATATAGAAAATAGTTGATCATTAGCATAATACCTTTTTTTTGTTTAGGTTAGCTCGTTGTAGAAATCTGAGATACCACATCCTTCACATTTCCTTTGTTGTGCTATATTTCAATTGTACTTAATAGCTTGCATTTGTAGCTCTTTGCTCACACTATTAATATTAATTGAGGAAAGCAAACTAAACATCCTTTTAAAACAGTTTAAGTACACATATTTAGTATGCCAACGGGGGAGAAGGCAGTTAGCTTCAATATCTGAAATGTAAAAATATCAGTCAGGTGATCCCTCTTTTATTTCTGCATACTGATTTCAGCATGGAAAAGTGGACCAGATAATTTCTTACCAAACTAGTAATTTAGTTTACTACTAAATTTCCATAGGAGTGAATTAATAAAATGTGTATGATGCTTTAACAGTACCCTGGGGAGACATGTGTGAAGTGATGAGGGGGTTCATGAGGTCACCCTGTGTTAGCTAGTGAAGCAGGTCAAGGACTTTTCCTCCGATGCTGGAATACAAAATCTCCGTGGCACGATGACCGCCAGCCCATCGTCCACCATCATGTCATTGCGTGTCTGGTTCATCTATCAGAGCAGTGAAATGTGTGCTGTTTCGCTCCAGGGAGTGGATCTATGTCATGGTGTTTCTACTTAACCATCTATATGACCTGTCCCTTTGTTAACTTTTTTCAAAATCCTCATTCCTAGACAGTGAGCGTATAAACCGGGTTGCTATGAGTCAGCATTGACTTGGTGACTGTGAATTTGGTTTTTTTAGTTTATCTGTTGGACAAGATAATAATTATTAATTATTTTATGGCTACTGATAACAGTTGTGGATTGAATTTGGGAGGTAATATTCCATGTCAGAATCATTTGTTAGTGATTTATTCACGATCATTTATTAATGATTTATTCATGATAAAATCTCAAGTGTAATTAAATTTAATTACAAAATTATATTTATTTCAAAGCCTTTTTACCCCCAAGATACTGACTTTTACATGTAAATTCTTGGTCTTGGTTTATTTTTATAAATGAAACACCAAGGTGTTCAAACCAGTTGGGTATCAAAAATCGCATGCATTTTCTCTCTCATCCATTCTACAGGAGGGACGCAGAGATTGCCGCGCGCTATCGGGATGGCCCTGGCAAAGGAGCTCATCTTTTCTGCGCGTGTGCTAGACGGCCAGGAAGCCAAAGCCATCGGCTTGATCAGCCACGTTCTAGAACAGAACAAGGAGGGAGATGCTGCCTACAAAAAGGCCTTGGACCTAGCCAGAGAGTTTCTACCTCAGGTACTCCCAGTCATAGTTCCGTTTTCTCTCTCTTTGTTATTAACAGGTTGACAGAAGAACGATCGGTGTCACAATACCCGAGATTTCCTTGGCTTGTGTTACAAGCAGTTGAATATATGATAGCGCGAAACTGGAACCATCATATTACATTAACGTTGAGACCCTCTAGAATTAAAATTAACACGTGACGATTATCTGAGGGCTTCTGTACCCATGCTTCGGCATTATGTCATGTAAAGCCTTTTCCACACATGGCAAAACTATTGAAATGATTGATGACGGAAACCTCCAACTTGAGGCAGGCACGTGCAGGGCGGCTGGGGGTGGGCCAGAGTGCCAGTCCGTTCCCCACGTTGAACCACACTTTACTCGGATAAAGACCTCAGTGTATGTTGTCAAAGGCTTTTATTTTGATGGATTCTTTTGAAATAACCTACTTGGAAAACAGGAGTTGCTTGTTTTACGGTGTGTACATGATGATGTCATATTGTGTTGATTTCTTTGTGCACCACACACAATGTCAAAATTCAGAATTCCCACCCTGTTGGCTCTAATCTGACTACACCAATGACTGATACGAGTCACTGCTTCGGTGGTCTTGTGTTAAGGGTTTGTTTATTCTGTCATTCTTTCTAAGTGCAGTTTTGGTCTAAAATCATGCATTAAAGAATTTTAACATAAAATAGGAGTCACGTTTTGCTATGGACTTAGTGATAACACTTTACGCTGTTAAAAAGAGTTTGAAGTTTTATAAACCTCTTAACCATTTCTAGACTCAGAATAACGTAGGAGCTCTTTACTCAAACAGGATTTATAACATGTTTGAGAAGCTAGTGAAGTTTCTCCCCAGAAAATTCCATTGTACCCCACATACATTTGTTCAAAGATTTTCTTGAACCTTAGTGTGAGAACCCTTGCAGGCATCTAGAGGTGTCTGCCTTCACAGTGCAGACCAAAGCTCTTGAGATAGTGGCACCCCTGTATCTGCTCTAGCATCTCTTTTAGTGTAAATGCCTAAGTGTGCAAAACTCCAAACTACATCCAAAGAAATGGAAACTAGGCAAACCCTGGCTGCCAAGAAGACCTTGCCATGTTCTGTATGCTAATTGTCTTCTAGTTGATGATTATGAAGGAAATTACAGCCTGCCTCACTGTTGGTGCCAATTGCCTCTCAACTTCCCTTTACTCTATCAGACAGAGGCTTTTCTGTGAGGCCCATTAACATCAAATTACTCTTCTTCCAGAACCGCTGTAAATTGCACCTCTTCCATTCTCCAAATCCTGTAATAAGCCAGCATTGCCTATCATGATGGAAGCTAGGACAGCGATGAGGCCAGGGGAGGAGTGGTTGGGAAGAGGCATAAGGGACCCTGATTGGAGGAATGGTTATACAGTATGCATCTGTCAAAACTCACCCATTTGTGCACTTCAACTTCAGTTTTGAAACCATGTGCCCCTTTCTCATTGTTTGTAGTATGGTGTTGGACTCTCTCTGGCCTGGCCTGCAAAGAAACCTGCAGTTTGACCCAGCACCCCACATAGCTCTGCTGGGTCCCCTGCCTGTCCTACGGTTTCACTTTTTATTTCAAGGCAGGTCTCCTTTCCCCCCTAATTATACTGTACGTGAAACCCCAATATATGAATCAGATAAAGTCACTTTGTTAGTGTTTAAGGATGGATTTGTGATTTTTGTCCATTATAAATCCTATCCGTAAGATAACCTGACTCAGTGTGCTTGTGAGCACGAATCTGCTCAGGGATGCACTAGAACATGACTGTGTATCCTTGTCTCAAAAATGTTTCCAGTGGTTTTATATGAGATTTTTGAAGAACTAAATTCCTGACAAGCATTTTCAGACCTCTTGGAATATCATTTTGGGATGGTAGTAGGTACCACTGCATTGCATACACAAGCTATCTTTTGTGTTGTTCTGGGTAGACTAGAGAAACAAATTCATAGACACTCATGTATATGAGAAAGAGGTTTATATACAAGAGCAATTGAATATTGAGAAAATGTCCCAACCTAGTCCAGATCAAGTCCATAAGTCCAATATTAGCCATATGTCCAATAGCAATCTATAAAGTCCCCTTCAGACTTACGAAACACATGCAATGACGCCAAATGCAGGAAGATCACAGGCCAGTGGGTGGAAAGTCGTGTAGATCCAGTGGTGGTGGAAGCATCTCAGCGCTGGCAGGTGTCTCTATATGACTTCTCAGGCTCCAGAGGTCGGGCTGCTTCAGGGTAGGTCCATGTGGCTTCTCCAGCTCCAGGGTACAGTGCCACATGTCTTGTCAGTAGAGTGTCTCTCAGGGAGTGAGCAGAGAGAGTGTCTCCTGCCTCCAAGGAGGAAAATGCCAGAGTTTCCAGAATCCTCAGGAGAAGGCCATGCCCACACCGAGGCCTCATTGGCTGTGATCTGACTGACAGACTAGACTCCACCCCTTCACTCTTCATCCTCTCAAGTCCCAAACTGACAACAAATTATGTAACTACCACATCATTGGAAAGTCCCTCCTCTAGCCAGTTGAGTTTCTAGAGAATTCCAGGGTTTGGCTTAAACTGATTGGACCAGTGACTTGCTATTCACCTCCCATACTACTCACAAGATCCTGTTCTTCCTTATACGTCACTCCCCAATAATACTCAGAGAGGGAGTACAATGTTGAGTTTGTTTTCTAAAATCCCAGAATAGATAAATCTATAGAGACAATAACTGGGGTTTTGCTGGGGGTGTTGAGGGGAAAAAGGGAGCTAATGCAAGAAAGGAGAAAGTACACGAAAGAAGAAAATGTTTAAAATTGATTATAATGATGACTTTACAATTCTTTTCAGTATGTTAACATTATTGTACTATCAAAGTTTTAACAGTTAAATTTGAAAAAATTTTAAGTTTGTTCAACTATTAATTATTTTTAAGTTCTATTTTTTCATGACCATGTATACTTACTAAAACACCATCCTCGGGTAATATTGTTGCTAACTGAGGAAAAATAACAGTGCAAGTGCCTGAAATTAATTATTTCTGAATTTCACATTTATCAGTAGCATCAGTCTCAGGTATTGATGCTGAGGAAAAATAACAGCACTAGGGCCTGAAATTGATTACTTTTCAACCTCTCGTTTTTCAGTAGCATCAACCTCAACTGGTCTGAGAGTGATCACACACATGTCCGCCCTTTCTTTTCCTTTCCTAACTTCTAGGGGGAATTGATTGTTGGAGAAAGGTAAGTCTACGTACTGAACACACAGTACCAGCTGGCCTTCGAGAATCTAGGGTTCATCATGTACCAGTGCTTCTGGGCCATCACTACCTGGTTGTGCAGTACAGATTTCACAACGCTGCTTAGTTAAGTTGAATTCTACAGACACAACCATTGTTGGTTCCGTGCCATAGATCCATAAGTGGAAATTTTTTAATGATACTGGAATGTACAAAAGAATTTGCATAACTAGGAATGAAAGTCAGTGTTGTTTTTTTCATTTGAATTTTAGGGACCTGTTGCTATGAGAGTGGCAAAATTAGCAATTAATCAAGGGATGGAGGTAAGTTACCTTAATGGTTGTTTGTTTGTTGTTGTTGGACTACAGAATAGAGATTCCATTTAACTGAACCTTGTTCACACTACCTTTTAATGTTTTAAGATATAACCATTTGCTACTAATACTGAAGGCCACTAAGGTTCTTTTGATTGCATCATTGATTTTATTCTACTTAAGCTGCTCCTAATTCAGTATTACAATCACCAAACCAGAATCCACTGTCTACAAGTCTACTCTGACTCATAGCAACACTATATAGAGTTTTTTGGGACGTAAAACTGTGGGGGCAGACAGCCTCCCCATTCTGCAGAGCACCTGGTAGATTTGAACTGTGGATCTTGAGTTAGCAGCCCAGTGCCTAATCCCCTGCACCTCTAGAACTGCTTATCATAGTTTAATAATGTTACTGATAACCTGCAATTATAACCTGTTTATAATTTTTGCCATTGAATTAATCCATGTATTGATTAGTAGTTCATAGAAATCCAGAAGAAAATAATATCCAGTCTGTGTATTCATAGTACCAATATCATAGTATGAAAAACATTGCAAGGAAAACTTCTTAGCTCAAAGCCGAATCTAGCAGTTTCCCTTTTAGTATCTCAGTGAGCTTTTTCCTGAGAGACTCTCATGGACTAGGTAGATCTTATGCTGTCATGGAGTTTACCCAAGGAAATGACTCTGTGAAGGATTGTAGCCCCAGCCTAATGCAAAGGCAGGAAGGGGAGGCGAAGTGTGCAGAAACCCACTGGCAGTGGACTTTTTAGTATAGCGATTCTGTTTTGATTAAATTATGGGAATTTTGAAGAATGATCCTTCTTCCTTTCAAATCTAAGAGCTACTAGATCTGTCTGACTTCCGTAGCGATAACAAGAGATTGGGTTTGTTAGCAGGTTGTTGTTAGGTTCCATCGAGTCTTTTCCAACCCATAGTAGCCTTAAGCATAGCAGAATGAAACGCTGCCCAGCCCCATGCTGTCCTTAAAATCGTTCCTGTGCTGGAGCCCATTGTTGCTGCCAGTATCAATCTATTTCCTCGAGGGTCTTCATCTTCTTCACTGCCTCTCTGCTTTACCAAAGATGATGGTTTTCCCCAAGGTCTGCTTTCTCCTGACAGTATGTCCGAAGTACTATGTCCGAAGTACATAACAACGTCTTGACATCCTTGCCGTGAAGGAGCAATCTGGCCATACTTATTTCAAGATAGATTGGTGTGTCCTTTTAGCAGTCCTTGATGATTTCAATATTTTTCTCCAGCACCACTTCTACGGTCTTCCTTATTCAGTGTCCAACTTTCATGTGCATGCAAAAAGGTACCCGCCTCCCCACCCCACCCCACCCCCCAAAAACACGTGTTTTGTTTTGTTATTCCAAAGCTAGTACTTCAATTTTTTAATAAACCAACCTTATCACCTTCAACGTACTGTCAATTGTACTTAATACATTTGTCTGAATCTGCAATTCCATTCCTGGAAACATGTTTCAAACACATCTGTTTGGGTGGCGGACATCAACTCCCTCGTTTTTTTCACTTCTTCTACTCCCTCAAATCGCTGTCCTTTCATGTCTCTTCATTTGTGGAAACAAAAAGAAGTCGCCGGGAGTGGGGTCAGGTGCGTAAGGTGTGTGTGGCAACAGAGTCATGGTGTTTTTGCCAAAAACTGGTGCACTGAGATGGGTGTGTGTGTAAGCAGGTGCATGGCCCGGGTGGCAAAACCATCCCCCCATCTGCCGCAAATCAGACCTTGTTTGTCACACACTGCTATGCATTCTTTCCAGAACCTCTCAATAGCTTGATCAACAGTCTGACCTAGTGGAACAAACTCCACGTGCTCCAAATCTCCCTCATTTTAAAAAATGAGTAAGCATCGTCTTGATCTTTGATTTCACTTGAAGAGCTTTTTGGACATGAGGTGACTATGGCATCTCCCATAGCTTGATTGATGTTTGCTTTCGGAGTCATAAGAATAGCCATGTCTTGTCACAGTAATGACCTGGGGAAAAAAGTCTGGGTTCCTTCAGAGCTGTTCTTTGAAAGCACAGCTTGTTTGCACTTGATGCTCTTTTTCCTGGTCGGTCAGGACCCGAGGCACAGAGTTCACAGGGGCCTTTCTCATTCCCAAATCTCTGGTTGAAATTTGCTGAACCCAGCTCTAAGAAAGTCCCGATAATGTCCCCATCACTTAAGTGGTCCACTGCCATCTTTGAGCACAAGTGCACAAATGTTGTCGGCATTTTCATTTGTTTGGGAAGTTGATGGACTTCCAGAACAAGATTTGTCATCAATTGATATTTCCCCTTTTTTGAAACAAAAAAATCACTGAGTTTTTCCCATAACATTATCTTTGTAAGCTCTGTTCAACATCACAACAGTTTCTGTGGCATTTTACCCAAGCAAGAAACAAAATTTCACAGTGGCACACTCTTCCCTTAAAAATAAGGTTTGAGGGAAACTGATTTTATGAAAATATTCACTGTGACAAGAGAGAACCTTGCCAGGTGACACCACTGGGTACACCAATGCAGAGCGAGTTGCTCAATGCTCGCTTAGCAGGCAAAATGTGTACTATGAAATGTGTATACTGAGTGGAGCTTTTTTCCATTTTTTTGTGGGGTACCCCCTCGTACAATGGAATAGAAAATACCATGGCTTGGGTCAGGCACACATCTGTCCTCAAAGTAACATCCTTGCTTTTTAATACTCTAAAGAAGTCTTGCGGAGTACATTTGCCTAATGCAGCACATCTTTTGATGTTTTGACTGCTGCTTGAAAGAGCATTGACTGTGAATTCAAACAAGACAAAATCCTTGACAGTTCCAGCCTTTTCTCCTTTTATCACGGTGTTACGTGTGTTCCAGTTGTGAGGTTTTGGTCTTCTTTACACTGATGTAATTAATATTGAAGACTGCAATCCTTGATCTTCATCAGCAGGTGCTTCAAGTCTTCCTCGGCTTCAATAAGCAAGATTGCATCATCTGCATATTGCAGGTTGTTAATAAGCATTCTTCTAATCTTGATGCTACATTCTTCTTCATATAATGCCAGCTTCTCTGGTGATTTGCTAAGCAAACAGATTGAATAAGGATGGTGGAAGGATACAACCCTGACACACACCTTTTCTGATTTTTAACCATGCTGTTTTTTTGTTCTGTTTTCACACACTGTCTCTTGATCCATGTAGAAGTTCCACATATGCACAATAAAGTATTCTGGAATTCCCATTCTTCTCAAGGTTATCCATAGTTTGTTATGATGATCCACACAGTTGAATGCCTAGGCATAGTTAATGAAACACAAGTAAACATCTTTCTGGTATTCTCTGCTGTGAGTCAAGATCCATTTGACACCAGCAATGAAATTCCTTGTTCCACGTTCTCACCTGAATCTGGCCTGAACCTCTGGCAGCTCCCCGTTAATATACTACTGCAACCATTGTTGAATGATCTTCAGCAAAATTTTGCTTGCATGTGGTACCAGTAGTATTGTTCCACAGTTTCAGCATTCTATTTGCATCTTTCTTTAGAATGGGTATCTCTATACGAATCTCTTCCAATCAGTTGACCAAGTAGCTCTCTTCCATATTTCCAGTTGTAGATGAGTTAGTGCTTCCAGTGTTTCATCAGCTTGTTGAAACATTTTAATTGATATTCCATTAATTCCTGGTGGCTTAAAAATTTGCTAATGCTTTTAGTGTAATTTGAATGTCATCCTTCATTACCATTGGTTCTTGCTCAGATTGTACCTCCCGAGATGATGGAATGTTAACACTTTCTTTTTCATACAGTGATTGTTTATTCTTTCCATGAGGAAAACAAAAGGTTGTTAAAAAGACAGTAAAGAAAGAAAAAGATCAAAATGCATGTCAGAAGAGACTGGAAACTTAATTGTCGAGTAGCTAAAGCAAATGGAAGAAATGATGAAGACAAAGAGTTGAATAGAAACTTTCAAAGGGTAGGTCAAGAAGATCAAGACAAATATTATAATGAAATGCACAGAGACCTAGAGTTAGAAAACCAAAGGGGAAGAACACATTCAACACATCTTAAACTCAAAGAATCCCAGAAAAAATTCAAGCCTCAAGTTGCAATATTGAAAGATTCTATGGGCAAAACATTATTTGGAGTAAATATAGTTTTTAAACTTGGCAAAGTAGTTGATTGGTTTTTTAATTATCATGTAATAATTTCATAGTAGTCACTTTATACAGCCCTTGTTATGTGCTAAGTTATGTTTCTATTTTATACACATACATATATGCACACACACACATATAGGCTATCTCCATCAAGTTGATTCTTACTCATGGCTTTCTGTAGGGTTTCTGAGACTATAAATATTTACTGAAGCAGCAGCCTCACAACTTGAACCGTGAACCTGGAGATTAGCAGTATAACACCCAACAGTGGCACCATAAATACTTCTGTTGTTGTTGTTAGATGTCATCAAGTTGGTTCCAATCCATAGCACCTGGATACACCAGAACAAAAGTCCTGCCCAGTCCTGCCCCATCCTCACAATTACTCCTATGCTTGCGCCCATTGTTGCAGCCACGGTGTCATCTGGTTCAGGACCTTCTTGTTAAGCTACATGTAAAAAGAGCCTGCTGAATTTTCTCTCTCTCTCTCTCTCCCTGTGTCTCAGGTTGATTTAGTAACAGGATTAGCCATAGAAGAAGCCTGTTATGCTCAGGTATGTAAAACAACCACATATTCCATGAAGATTCAAAGTATGTTTATGGTCTGTGTAATGCAAATTAATTCTGTATCCTGAGCAGCAAGTTTACCCACCCACCCATTCCAAAGACTTGCAAAGGAGTTGAAATGGTTCTTTGTGCTGTCCGATGTAACCAACCTGCTCAGACAGGTTCTGCTGTACCGACTGGACTAATCCCTTTCATCGAGTATGCTTAATCTAGAGGAGGCTAGAATAATTATAGCAGTACTGTTCACTGTTGCTGTTGTATTTTGGGGTGTAAACTTGGGTCATGACTATGTATAAAATGATAGTGGGGGGAGAGAAAGCTGTAAGTGATATGGGTGCCTTATATATGCCTGGCTGTGTAAGATTTGTGGACCTTTCCTTTAAAGAGGAGAAAGCACTATATTTCTCCCGTGGAGCAGCTGGTGGCCTCAAACCCCTGACCTTGCAGTTTGCAGACCAACTTGTAACCTCTGTGCCATTTAAAACATCTAAAATAGCAAGAGAGTTTTGTGTTACTGAGAATTGGAAATTGCCTCCACTCCCATGCAAACATGCTGGTGTCCTGAATTATGAGCACTGTGTAGAGTGTGACTCACTGCCCTGACTGTGCATATAAATCACCACCTGCCATTAATGCATACATGTGATGAATGAAGTAAATTAGAAATGGATAGCCTCATTGTCCAAAGAGAAATTTGAGAAAGATGTTTGGGGTTACAATGATAAATTTAGTAACATAATTAGAATTATTCAAATGATGAATTTTTGTGTGTCATCAACTTGATTTCCACTTAAAGTGACCCTCTGTGGCAATCTAGACCTGCCCGATAGGGTTTTCTGAGCTATAAATCTTTATTGAAGCAAATTGCCAGGTCTTTTCTCCCAGGGAGCTAGTGGTCGGTTCAAATCATTGGCCCTTAGTGAATCTCAGAATTTTTAAATGTGCTTTTAATTTGTTTTCTCAGATAATGCATGTTAAACTTTTATAGTTTTTTCAGTGTTTGGTAGAGGTAACATGATGTTTTGTTTTTTCTTAGACCATTCCAACGAAAGACAGACTTGAAGGCCTTCTTGCTTTTAAAGAGAAAAGACCCCCTTATTATAAAGGAGAATAGAAGAAAGTGAAACCCTTACAATGCTACGTATTAAATGTACTTCTGGAGGTATCTTTCAGATGCGTTATATGCCTTGGCACATGAAATGTAAATTATCTCCATAGTGTGTCAGATATCTGGAATAGTCCCCTATTGTATGTACCTTGTTCAAATGTATATCACGTCATGTTCCTTCAGGTTTATAAAGCTAATAGTGTATGTTGTTAAAATTGCTGACTCAAAATTAGTTATGTTTTTAAAAACTTCCTGCATAAGATGCATTTGGTTTTTAATTTTTTAATGTGAATAATTTATATATTGCACACTTTAGGAAATAATACTGATTGTATGTCTACTGTGCTGCATTAAGAAAAATAAAATTATTTCCTGTATACCAAAAATGTCCAGTTATACCAAATAAAGTTTCTAAAGGATAATACACATAGATACATTTACATATATATATCTTAACTGATTCTAAGTGAAAATTACTAAATATAAATAAAATTAGATAAAAGAAAACTAACTTGAACATTTTTCTTTTCTACCTTTTTATGCCTATTCTCTCTGTACAGTAGTTTTTTTACATAGTCAGTCCCAGAATACAGGGAGTAAAGATGGGGAGTGATCCAATCAGACACTAGTGCCAGAAGGCTGTGTAACATGCTAGAGGCCCAGAGCCCTTGTACTTCTGAGAAGCCTTCCTACTGCCTGGACTTGCCTGGCCTGCTAGTCCAACCAAAGGGACATGCACCACACCCTCCTCCCTTCCTCCCTGCTGCGTCCTATTGCCCCTGAGTCCATCTGATTCATGGCGACACGGTAAGACAGATTGGAATTGTTTCGTAGGGTTTCCAATATCTTTACCAAAGCAGACGGCCACATCTTTCTCCTCTAGAGTGACTGGTGGGTCCATCCATTTGTTTAGCTACCAAGCTCTTAACCACTGCATCACCAGGATCCCTTGCTAGGCTGATTCAAAAAGGAAGAGAAACCACAGTCCAACTATGGTTTCAATTGCCATAGAGTCAATTTCAACTCTGCGATTGAGTCTAGACCACAGGATCTGATTTCAGTGAGAGAGAACACACTTCCTTCTTCTAACAGGAATATAGCATTCCTTTCTGCCACTGGCCAAGCACAACAACTCTCAGGGGAGGGTCATAAGTACCAAGTCTTGCATTTATTAAGCAGTGTTGAAAGGGCAGGGAGAGATGTGAAGTGTGTGGGAATTGTAAAGTGTAGAGTTCAGTATGAAAGGGGGCGAGTATTACAGTTACCTCAAGTAGTGTTAGATACCTTTGTTTTCTGTTCATCTGAAACCAGAACATCATCTAGGGCTATGTCCAATTCTAAATTACAGCACTGGAGAAGCCCAGCTCACCACAGATAATGTGCTTCGCTGATTTGTTAGCCTCTGGTAGCCCACTGTTACCCTGGACACTGTAGTTTAGATTCATTCCTATGATGTGTATGTATACTTATAAGGAATTCTCTTAGATGTTGACAGAATGATGACCTATTTTACTATGCATTTTCTACTCATGGTGAGTTCATTATTCTTTGAAAGTATTTAGACTTAGTTTTTAAAATCACTGGAAGTTTTAATTTTGGAAATTAAAGATTGAGATCTCAATCTCAAGTCTAAACGTTTTATGAAGACAACCCTAACAAGAGTCATTTTCACTGAATGTGTGCAACACTCTAAAGAATACAGTTGGTTTTTTTCCATCAAATTAGCTGCTGAGACTATTAACTCATGATGATTGCTCAGCTGATAAGCATAATGGAAAAAGGAGGCCGTTAAAATTCACATTCTTCTCTCATGATTATGTCTGGTGGCACACACACTTTATTAACTGATACCCTTGCTGAGCTGTTCATTTCATATTATTTTGTTAAGTCTTCTAAAAGTTTCAGGCACATTTGTCTTATCTGTGACATATTAAAATGCCATTTCCACTTTAACGGAATAGGATATAATTATGCTAGTAGAGGAAAAACTTGGAGTGTGTGGAATGGTCTGCCCATCCTAGGATTCATTGTCCAGTCCAGTGTTCCCCAAAGTGGGTGACACCACCCCTGGAGGACACTGAAGGGATTCAGAGGGGGTTGCAAAAGCAGTTACCTACGCTTTATCCTGCATTATGGGCTATCGTACAACAATTTTTAACTACCAGGCCACTGCTGAGTAATATTTTTTTTTTTTTCTGAAAAAAGAGGCAGTAGGCCAAGTAAGTTTGGAAACCCATGGCCTAGTTTATTATGTTGATTGAGCAGCATTTAATTTCATAACAGCTTCTGATTAAGTCGCCTAAGTGTATAGAAAAGCCAAGATACCATCGTATAGTCACTTACCTAAAGTAAAGGGAGAGTGTCTGCCCAACTCGGTGTCAGTGTTCAATTTTGTTTGAGTGCAGCACTGTTGCTGGAGGATAGCCCGACCACTCTCCAAGGGATGTTCCGAAGAGGCTCTGCTCCTGCCTGATCATGAGCATCCAGACCAGCGCGCATGTTTTGCCTCTACCGCTCCAGCATGCAAAGTATTCGCTCCTCCTTGCACTGAAACCACATCAGAAACTTAGCACAAGCCAGGACTGCAATGGATAGACCCATATCTTCGATTAAAGTAAAAGTTTCAGAAAGGGGGAATGAGTCACTGAGCACAGTGTAATTCAGAGGATCAAAGCTAAATAAAGAAAAAACATTTTGCTTTATCTCAGCGCATGAGCCCTACAGATCTTGAAGTCACTGAAATGAAAAACCCATTGCTGCCGTGCCAATTCCAGCTCCCAGTGACCCTAGAGGACACAGTATAACTTGCTCCATGGTTGGTCCAAGGCTGTAACTCTTGACGGGGCACACTGCTGCACCTTCCCCAGCAAAGCACCTGAGGACTTCAACCTGCTGACCTTTACGCTGGCCGCTGTGCAACCAGCTCTCCGTGACGTAAACTAGTGCTGGTTGACTTATCACTTATCTATGAAAAAGATCTGAGTGACAGGTTCTCAGAGGAGAAAAGTTGTAATATCCAAAAGAATAGTGTTTTTTTGTGGTGTAGTTTTTGGAACCATCAAACCAGAAAGCATCCTTTAAATCACAGAAGTGCAAAATTGTTTCTATTTTCAATGACAAATGGGCCGATTCCCCATGGAATCAAGTCCTTGCTCTTTATAGTAGACATCACAAAATAGACTTGTCACACAATGTTAGTTGTCTAAAAACACTTAAGAGGACTGTACCTGGGGCTAAGGAAGGGGATGTCAATTTAGAGATGTGATACTTGGAGGAAAATTGATATTTTTCACATGAGGTTGGAGCTGGTCATGTAAGTACCCCTTTCCCCATGTGAACTTAACACCAACTTCTGGTGATATGATCTACCTTTCCTCTTATTTAGGGTCAAAAAGCCACTGTCTTATCACTATTTCTGTTAGTATTTATTAGACTTTATCAAAATAGCTCTGATAATTCTTTCCCATCATATTGTGTAAGAGCACTCCAACATCCTGTGTGTTTGGCATTACCAAAGTGGCTTATGCAAGGTCTGGCTCCAACTCTGCTTTGTCCTAGGCATTGCTTCTGTTTCTGAGAAAGTAATCTGACTCCGTTTTGCCCCAGGCCCTGTGTCTCTTTCCGAGAAATCGATCTCATCCTCTGAATGAAAGCAAAATGCCTATACGGTTAAACTTGATGGGTATACCGCAAGGACAGTTTGCCCTCAGGAAGAATGTTGTTGAAAATAGATTATTATGTACTTGCATGGGGTTGTCTTTAATGGTTATCAAAATAGCCAATCAGAATTATTTTTAATGTTACTGATATTTTAATAGTTAAGAGAGCTACAGTCTCTGGACCACTTTGTAACTGCCTGGTTGCTATGTACTACACTTAAGTCTGAATCATTCTATCCTTCAATAAGCCTCTTTTCCTTTTATTTTAAGCAGATTCCATGGTGCCAGAAGTGGTGTCAAAGTTGCATTATTACCAAGAGGAATTCCTGAGGATTCACTATCAGGCAGGGCTGTTTGGACTAACTGCTCTGTGAATTTCTTGGGGTGTCACCACCAAGAAAATAATCTCTTGAATCATGAGCGTCACCTCTTTGCCAAGAGCTCTTCTAGGTTATTTGGAGATCCTGATTTTACTTTGTTTTGTGTTAGAAGACTCAGTGTTAGAGGCTCAGGAAAGACAAGATGAGAGATTCAACGGCAGGAGAGAGGTTTACTGGAGGAAACTGAGAGGAGGGAGGGGCCTTAGACCTGAGTCAAAAGGCTCTCTTTATACAGACTAGCATAGGAGCCCTGGTGGTATAGTGGTTATGTGTTGGGCTGTGATCCACTTGGTCAGCAGTTTGAAACCACCAGCAGTGTCTACGGGAAAAGACTAGGCTTTCTACTCCCATGAACAGTTACAGTCTCGGAAACCCGAAGGGGGGTTACTATGAGTCAGCATTGACTTGGTGACAGTTTCATAGCATTAGTCAAAGGGGTACATTTGTGGACAGGGATGTATGATACGGCTGATTCTGGGGATCAGGGTCATCTTGTAGGCGGGCGGGTGGAGAAATACTGAATCAAAATGTTTTTGCAGACAGGGTTTTCTGAATAGACATCCTTCATTCCCAGCTAACAGGTAGTTCAAAAGAAAGAGGGATGTCAATGTCTGTCTAGCTGCTTCCTGCTGACTTAGGGCATCAATGGGTTACTGACTACCCATGTCACTGGGAAGTCAGAGCTGCAATTGTGTAATCATCCTGGTGGAGTTGAGTTGCCTCTGAAGTTCTTAAAGGTCTCTGTGTTTACTTTTTCTACTAATTACACTCAGTAGAATTCAGATGTCCCCTTTAAGGTCCAGATGGATTGGCTTCACTGTTTCTGAGAGAACAATTTACTATATGGTTAATTTACTTTCTTCCTTTTGATCAATTTCAAGGAAAGACAAGTTAGCAAGGATTCTTGCAGACTTTCATCTTTCTTATACTGCAATCCTTTTATAATGAACCAGTTTACCTCCTTTTCATCAACATATCTCTAAAGAACTTACTGCGTCCATTCAAGTTTCTGTAGAATCTTTCATATTCTGGTGCAACTGGACACTTTATTACAAGGCAGAATTACTTTTTCTATATAACTCTTTTCTGAATATCTGCAACTTACTTTGACTTTCTGCAACTTACTGTATTCCATCTAAATTCTTTTCTCTCGCTAAGCCATCCCTGAATGTGAAAATTCTATCACTTACCTAAGCATCAGCCAAAGATAAAGTCGTCTCCAGAGGGAATTCCTTCGTATCTTTCTGGCTCAAGCAAACACCAAGTTCCAAGGCGAAAACAACTGCTTGTGAAGGCGGCGTGGGGGTGGGTGGGCGGTAAGCAGTTGCCTCTTTCAGCTACCGAGGTTAAATCCATTCAGCCTATCTGTTCAGGTTTTTGCATGGAGATAGGAGGAAGTGAAAACCTCACCAACACATTTTAGTACTGAATGCGAAGCCCTTGTGTTGAGCAAAACATGAATGGATTT